CTCTCTCCCCACCCCCCCTCCGGCTCCGAACCGAGGGCCGAGCCGCTCGGCCCTCGCCGCTCTGGCCCCCCTCCCTGCTCGCCGCTTCCCTCCCAAGCGGTGGGATTTAAACATCCCCCCGAAATTTTTTTAAAGGTTTAGCATTTTTGTGCACACGTGGGGACTGGCCCACGTGTACACAAACCTCCCCCGGCCCCCCAGCTGCCCCCGGAGCGCTGATTTAGCGATCTGCACTCCGGGGGCAACTTCGCTATTAGATATATCGATATCTGGTCTTCTACAGTCTATTTCTTCAGAGTAGACCTGCCAAATAATCAGGATTTTAATCCTGACATGAATGATAATAGTTCATCCATGTCTATTAACCCAGCACTGATAAATCTACTTTAAAGAAGATAAAGAGTGGTGTAAAGTCTATAAAGAAGGTAAAGACAGGACTACAGAAAGAACCAGTTTCTTCAAAAATTCCTTTCAAAACCAGTCCAATATAAAATCTTAAAAACTCACTTATCAGAAGATGTTGATTCATTATCTGAATGGTCCTTATGATGACTTTTTTTCTCATTTTCTTCCTGCAAAAGTTAAATGTGATATTTTTATCATGTATTACAAGAACATGGTATATACCATTTAGAAATTTGTTAATAAAATAGCCTCCCAAGGATACCATATGTTACATTCATCAGATGCTAAATTTCCTTTCAAAGGCACCATGGCCTATAACACTTCAAAAATATGTTAAATATTTATCTTTGTGATTTACACATGACACTGATTATATGGTACTATTGTCCTACCCATGACTTCTAGTTAGTTGATACATTTAGTATTTATATTCTATAATTTTTAAATTTCAGTTTGTGGTATTCACTAAAGTCTTGGGTGCATTCTCTGATCTTTCTAGCTTACCTTCTGGCCCTCAGAATCAGTGAGGTTTAATGTTCCTTGCAGCCCCCACCCTCCAACAGCACTGGAATGATCTGGGAGAATACAATGCTGGCTCCCTTCTCCAACCAGCAGCTGGAAATCCTCAGTGGATATCCCACCCCCACCGGCAATCTAGAAAAATCCCATTTGTGTCCCTGATCAGCCCAACCAAGTAATCAGAACGTACCCACCCAAACAACCCACATCATATTCCTTTTTTGGCACCATCTTTTGTTTCTCTTATAGCTCATTAGGCTTCTCCATATGCAATTCTAGGCTAGGCTCTCCTAGCAGATGTTGTTCACTTTATTCCTTTATCTTGATCTCTAAGGCAAACAATAACCTAAGATCCCTTTCTTTCACAGTGTATGGTTAGAGCTTATATTCAGCAAAGATTGCTTCATGCTGTTTTTGATATCTCACCCTCAGAGATCGGTGAACTTCTATACCTCTTCTGAACCCTCTGGAGAATTCATGTTATAAGACTTAGTATTTGGAACCAAAATCAAGCACACATGTACAGTTTTTGTACAATATTAAATCATTAAATTGTATTAAAGGAAGAAGACAATAAGACAAATTGCTTGAATAAAGCAAAATATTTCAAAGTTTCACATGATATGGCATTACCCTAATGGAAAACAGCATGCAGTACCTAATTTTTAAAACACCATTTTCATCCTTCTAACTAGGTGAAAGTCAGCATCCACATCTTCTTAGAGGAATATAGCCACATAAATAATTTTTCCACTCCCAGGAGCTTTATCTGATATTAACATTTTACTAATATAACCCGCCATCTCTCAAAAACCTACAACTTCAGAGCAAACTTCTTTAAAGGTTTACTTGTGGTTAATATAAAGCTATAATCAACAGTCAAATCTTTAACAAAGGATTAGTAAGCCTTAAAGTGAGTAAATACAATTACAATAGCTTACTTACCTTTAATGATTCCTGGAATGAGGAAGCCTGGTATTGTGCATATTTAGCAATAGTAGTTTGAGATTTACTGCTTTCACAACGCCATATTTTCTTTGTTCCAGTAGGGTCCCAGTTTTCATCTGATGGTTGTAACAACTGTGTCCTTACTTCTACTAAATGTTCATTATTAGCTTCTACCAACGTTTTAGTTGAGAAGAGTCCCAGATCTGGAAAACAGAAATATACTTAATGATAGGTCTCAAAAGTGCAGTTTAAAATTATATTTATATCCTGTTTTTTTCTGTTATGTACTTCCAAGTACATATATAGGATTCCTATAGGATATACGGAAGGTCTATCTAGGCACAGATTTCTGCTAAGCTTTAGAAAGTTTACTGTATCATGTGCCATTCAACTGTGCCCTTGGACCCAATGTACAGCAAACATCAATGTATAAACAATCTAAAGGTATGGAGGAAGTGGTTTTATCTTTAGGATCTATGCATTAAAAATATCACAGAGTCACATAAATGCTTCTAAATGAAACAAAAGTTGTCATTACATATTTATACAAGTTTAGTTTTCCAAAAGCATCCTTTTGGGAAACTCAACAAATATTCGACAACTGAAATAGATAAAACATTGATTTATACAGATGATAAGCTTATTAAGAAATTGTATGCTATAATGTTAGAAATTAAAACCCAAGATGAGGTGGTAAAATGCTCTATGGTCAAATAGGCACAACATTTGGGGTATAATATTGATTTAGATCAATGGTCCAAGATATGGAAAACAAATATAAAAATTACTAAAGCAGTCTTTTATAAAGAAAACATTTATAAAATGTTTTATAGATGGTATATTACGCCAGATAAGTTATTAAAATTTTACCCTAATATGTTGAATGATTATTGGAAATGTCAAAAAATGTTGTTTCCTTTTTTCACATGTGGTGGACTTGTGATAAAAGTAAAAAAATTTGGGCCTGGATACATGAAATATTGCAAAAAATCCTAAAACGCAATACATCTTTTGTACCAGAACTCTTTTTTATTGAATATACTTCTGGAAAATTGTAAAAAACAAGACATCTTATTTTACATGTAGTTACAACTGCTAGAATATTGTATGCTAAATATTGGGGAAGAAAGGAGATACCTTCAAAAGAAATAATAAACAAACTACTAGAAACTGCTGAAATGGATAAATTAACTTTAATTCTGAAAGGATATAAAGAGGAAAACTTTGAAGATACATGGTCAAGACGTTACAATTCTATTGAATAATATAACAAATGAAACATGAACATAACTGAAACAGAGGACAACAAGAACATTTAAGATAAAATGTGCAAAGCTATGCCTAACAATATAAGTTGTAGAAATATTCTTATATTGAGAGATGTATGGATAACTTAACAGTTAATTCAAAAAGGTGGAGAGATTCTCCCATTTAATGTTTGTTTTGTTTGTTTATGTTTGTTGTTACAAAAAAAAACTATTATAGGAAAAAAATCCTAACATGGTCTTTTCTCTACAGATGTCAAGACAAAAAGAAAAGAAAAAACATCTGAACTAGGGGGTGCACTTGCATAATTTGCATTTTAATTCAATATCAGAACGTCAAGAAGGGCATTTTAACTGTTTTTGTTAAATATCAGGACTATTGTTATGGAAATATTGGAACAAAACTCCACAAATTGCCCTTCTTTACTTTCCCATACAAAATTACAATTTTGAAAAAGCTTCCTCCCATCCACAGGAAGCAAGAGAGGAGAGGGAGGGTCCCTGGTCTGCAGCTGATCCATGGAACATTGGCCCTTGAAACTTTAAAGGTTCATTATTTTCCATTTCTACAATAACGGCCTTTTGAACTTTAAATGGGCATTGTTTTCAATGGCTGGGATGGTAGTCAGCCCAGCTGTGGGCTCCCTTCTTTACAGCAGGAGCAACAAGGGAGAAGGAAGGCTATCCTTATGGCCTGGAATGAACTCCAGAAGGCCTGGTCTTCCCACTGAAAAAATGGATTTTTAAAGGGCAGAGATGCCACTGAACAGATGGGGGCCCCTCTACATGATGGGTAGTAGATAGTTCCAATATTTATTGAGGGAAAATATTGAAACTGGAAAAGCATTTCATGCTATCAGATACTGGTGATCCAATCTAGGAAATATGTCATTGTATCAGGCTGGCATTACCGAGATGCACACCCATAATCTGAACTGTTTTAGAATCAAATTTGTAAATATACAGTACCAGAGATCAGAAGGAACTGTTGAGTAGCTGGAATTAGGAAAATGAAATAGACCAGAGGTGGCCTAGAATATGAAAACACACACAGGGAACAACTGAACTGCAAGCACTTAAAAAGATTCCAACTTTTCTAAATGTTTCTTCTAAAGAAAATGTCTACTTTGAATATTTAATCAAACTTACCTAGTTTAAGAGCTCCAGCAAGGCCACGTATTACAGTAACAGGATTGTTAGGATTTGTACAAAACTGATGTAAAGGTGGGAAGAAAGCATCACGCTTATTTTCCAACTACAAAAGTAAAACAGGACAGAAGAAATATGGCAAATTTAAACTTTTTAGTACTGAAGAACTTAAACGGAATTTAGAACTGGATCAGCCCCATCACCAATATTACAATCCAATTATGACTTTTGCTGCTTTTCAAGTTACAATACTGTAAATTATTATACCACAGTAGATTTGTACAGATACTCAGTCCTGAAGATATTTTATTATTTGATATTTTTAGGTTTTGTTTGGCTGTCTAGTATTAGAATACACAAATGCTTGTAACCATTAAATGAAGCAACCTCTTAATTGATCATGAACCTTGATTCTGAGCTGTATTTATTGCATCTTTTAATTCTGCTTTCCACTATAAATTATTCAGTCTATGACTTATACTTAAACTGATACATTGCGTACTGAAACCAAACCAATTAATTCACATAAAACCTCATTTCTAAAGCAAAACAATTTAGAAAGCAAAAAATTACAGAAACCACAAAACTACAGTTATTCAAGATGTACATTCCCTATGGGTTTTAAGGCACTTTATCAATAAAGAATATATTTTAAAAACATCCAATATATCTGCATGGCAATTTTAAAATTTAAATGACCATGCAGTCACAGAAGCCAACAAGTACATAACACATAAACATAAAATATTAACACACACTTTCTTCAGTGTGACAATCCTGCCTTCCCATAGGGCTTCTGAAATAGGAACTACAGACTTCTGTGGATGAAAGCAATGTTCCAGAAAAAGGAACTTTGCAAAGCTGCTCTGTGAAAGAAAAAGCATTAGAAGCCTACCAAGCCCTCATATGCGCTGAAAAGTGATCTCTGGATCACAGCCAGATTTCTAGAAAAATATAGCTTGTAAAACTAGGCCTCCCCCCCCCCCCAAAGACACCAGCTTATTCATTCCAACCATGCAGTTGGTACTTACATAAATACTAGGTGTAGGTGGATTTAGCTTGTCCTTTGGCAGGGGAGGATGTGGAGGTGGTGGTGGTCTTGGAGGAGGACATTTATCCAATAAAATGCTACTGTTAGATAGACCATTTTTACCCAGATTCCTAAAAGGAAATAAGAGTATACAAATGTCAGTGAATACACACAAGTCTGCATTTCTATGCCTAAAAGATGTTCAAGAGTAAACTGATTATTCAGCATGGGAAAGCCACAGTATATCTGAATCAAGAATTTAATAATTACTGAGGTTACTTTCTTAAATTAATCTTTTTCTTTGCAAAATTCACAACATTTTCATTAACAATCAATCCATTTCAAGAAGAATTATTTGGCAACAACCTAATTAGCATGAAACATTAAGTACTGCTTTTTTTATCCAATACTGATTAAGGGAAATTTCATCAACAAGGAATGTTGAAAAGATCTATTAGATCAAAAGGTACCATGGGGCATTCTTGAAGAAGGATACACCAAGGAGATTGGAGTAGAATAACAATGCATGTGCTTTACTGATAGAGCTCAGTCCTTAGGGAGGATTTATGCTATTCCACAATCTTCATTTGGCCCCAATGTAGTAAAGCTTGATATGAATGAGGTGGGGCCAATTTCAGTCAATTCTTTCTCCTTCCTGTAGTTTCCAAGTGGGATCCCCCACTGTCAAGACCCAGACCTGGGTTCCCCTCTTACAGGCCAGCAGTGTTCAGACCTGTGGGTCCCTGAAACTGCATATACACAAGAAACCAAACCTTTTCTTAAAAGGATAGGCAAAGGTTTATTAGATAACAGAAGGGAAAAAAGGAATACTATTAGGCAACATAGTCTGTTTGATCAAATAGCACAAACCAATCAAAGCTGACTTAAGCTTTTTATTCTACGGTTCAACATGGTCCACACCTCTGTCCAGTAAAATTACCAAGTTAGCATCCCCCTTCCCTTGATCTATAGCTCAATTATACTCTTTGGCCTTCTGGCATTAGGTGATGCTCCAAATCCAATCAGGGCCCACATTCACAGGAATTCTCTGGAAGATTGCAGCATCACTTCTGCTCCCCCTCCCCCCTTATGGACCACAGGTTTTCAGGAAGAACTAATTGCCACATTCTAGGCTCTGGCCTTGAAAGAGGTAAGAGCCTGTGGGCAAGATGGATTAATTACAGACTCATGCAAAGCTGGAGTAGGCCCACTAATATTCACATTAACCCTTGGGAGGAAACAGGGGGCTTTGCCTCACATGCCCCCCCCCTTCAAGGAACTGAGATTCATGGTTTAATCATGATTGAAGCTTTTTAAATATTTAGGCAAAGCAACTTTGAATTAAATTCCCTATAGAGGGAGATAAATATTATTTCACAAACAAGAGTCAGCAAGCACAAAATGAGATAGGAACTCTCACAAAATCTTCCCCTCACTCACCCCCCTTCCTCCCACACTTATCAAGTTCCAGAAACAGTGGCTCTCTCCATGCGTTTGTTTAATGAATAAGGGATGGACTTTGGGGGGGGGGACATGCCAGTCTTTTGCCTGGACTTATTTTACCACTGAAATTTCTGCATGGGAATCCTCTGCATGCACTCTATGCCTTCAGTTTTCATTAGCCCATCCCTCAGATGGAATAAAGGCGTTTCTTCCTCTTCAACAACCTTCACAGAGAACATTCATCCCACTGTCTGGCAAACTTCACAAGTATTATGTCAGAATGCTTTGGTTTATATTAGGCCAATAATAGGACTGTGTAACTCCATCCAATGTTTTTTATTTATTTATTTATTTTGGAACTTATACCCCGCCCTATCCAAACGGCTCAGGGCGGCAACAAGCGGCAAACGCCGAGATAAAACACATTACATTAAAAGCATAATAAATAAAACTAAAATTGGTGCTCTACAATACATATTAACAAAGGCACAAGATGGACGAGTCTCATTTTCAGCTGATGATGTCCCAGTTCTGGGCGCCCGCATGATGTTTCTCATCAGGGCAGCACTTCTCACCTCTTCACCCCAAGGCCAGGTAGATGGACAGTCAGCCACAGCGATGGTCTAGTGGCAGTGGCGGCGGCTCCTACTCAAAAGCCTGGCGGAAGAGCTCCGTCTTACAAGCCCTGCGGAACTGTACAAGGTCCCGCAGGGCCCGGATCTCCACCGGGAGCTCATTCCACCAGGTAGGAGCCGCCACCGAAAAAGCCCTGGCCCTGGTTTGGGTGAGCTTAATAACTCGTGGGCCCGGAACCTGAAGAAGGTCCAGGCTCCCAGTTCGCAGCGCTCTCGGGGGAACATACGGGAAGAGGCGGTCCCTCAGGTAGGCTGGACCCTGGCCATTCAGGGCTTTAAAGGTGAGCACCAGCACTTTGAAGCGGATCCGGTATGCTATAGGCAGCCAGTGCAGCACCGGCCGGATGTGGTCCCTCCTCGAGAGACCCATCAACAGCCTAGCTGCAGCATTCTGCACTAGCTGCAGCTTCCGGATCTGCGACAAAGGCAGCCCCAAGTAGAGAGCGTTACAGTAATCTAACCTCGAGGTGACCGTCGCGTGGATCACCGTGGCCAGGTCCTCGCGGCTGAGATAGGGAACCAACTGCCGGGCCAACCGCAGATGGTAAAAGGCTGACCTAGCAGTGGCTGCCACCTGGGCCTCCATTGTTAAATCACCGTGGCCAGGTCCTCGCGGCTGAGATAGGGAACCAACTGCCGGGCCAACCGCAGATGGTAAAAGGCTGACCTAGCAGTGGCTGCCACCTGGGCCTCCATT